TGATTCTTCATTTTTGTTCAACCCCAACCCCACTTCCAACCAGTTGCTAAGTATCCTCTATTCTACCATAATAATGCCTCTTGTATCCATTCTCTTCTCCTCACCCTCGAGGACGTGTACCATTTTATCCAGTGTCCTCTGGATCCACTGTCTCAAAATCATCTCTCACATGGGGGTCTTGTGAGCCAAAAGTCAACAGAAATATGTATGCTGTGTATATTATGCTCTAACACATTACTAATAATGACTGGGTATGGAAAAGATAACATTGAGAGACTTCATCAAGGACATACAAGATCAGAAAGAAGGTGTCATAGCCATGTAGCAAAAGTCAGAAACAACAAATGGATATTCAAGTATTCCAATGGTAACTACAAAACATTAAAGGAACCAGAGAAAGGTCTCTAATCCATTAGGTGGATACTCTATGGATGATTGACAGGAAGACATGGACAAGAATCACATAGGTTGAGAAGGCATGGAGGAGTGTAATCTGTACCAGTGGGCATGATGTAGGTCAGGTGTGATTCGGTTAGATCTGATGCTTTAGGTTCAGAACTGAAATGAAATGAGTCACTCATGGAATATCTAGCAGCTGACAGAAGATTTACTTAGCTATAGCTGAGAAAGGATACTCAAGTATTTAGCATTGATTCGGCTTAGCACAGTTTCCCAGACTCTGTGTTATCCATGAAAGCTTACTAGTCAGAAGCTTGAGGGAGATGTTGCTGACTCCTTGCATGCTAGATTTTTGTATAAAGCCCAAGAAGAACCTCTCTCAGTGGTGCTTCAGTACCAGATCTCCCAATCCAACTGAGTATTGAGAATGGTTTCAATACCTTTTAAGGTGAAAAATAGCCTTGCCTAAATGGAAGACAGCATTCCTAACCTTTCCACCCTTTGGTGGTAAGGTCCTAAAAGTCTTCTAGAGAACTTTTCACCATTTAAATGGCTTCAGCAATATTATTGTGCAACCTTAATCTCAGGAATGTGAGAAGCATAGCATAGACTGTATTGAAAAAAGAAAAGAAAAACTAAAATAGAAGTTAGCTTTTAAAAAAAAAGCAATGCAATGGTCCCCTGAATGAGTAATAAACTGTGAGGGAAGATAAATATCAGAAATCCCTAGTTTCATTGTCCAACTTCAGAAGAACATATCACACCCTTGTTTCCAGGCTCCCATATATGTTATCTCCCATCAGAATAAGCTTCTAGAGGGCAGGAATTTTTGCTTTTGTATTTGTATCCCCAGAACTTAGTATAATACTTGGCACACAATAAGTTTTTTCATTCATTCATTCACTCATTCATTCATTTATTTCCCTACTTTGTCCCCTTCTCTGTGGTTCAAGTTCCAATCTCTCTCCCTGAGGCATTTATAACCTAACCACTACCTGAGCACCCAGCAGCAGATGTTCTGATACCTTTGGGAAAATACAGAGAGAGAGAGAGAGAGAGAGAGAGAGAGAGAGAGAGAGAGAGAGAGAGAGGAGGGAGGGAGAGAGAGAGGGGGAGAGAGAGAGAGAGAGAGAGAGAGAGCACTTCTAATCACCTCCTTGCCCTTCTAATCATATGCTGATATCGGTAGTAGTGGGTGATATTGCAATAACCTCCTAATTGGTGGCCCTACATCAACTATCTCCCTTCTCCATTCCTAAAGCACAGGTTTGACTAGTCAATAAAGAAAAACAATGGCTCCCTACTGACTCTAAGAGCAAGTATTATTTCTTATTCAACAACATTTTTATGCAAGTTTGAAAATATAATGATTATAGTTACACATAAATAATATGAAAAAATAAATATTGCATATATTGGGAGTATGCATTCAAAATATTTTTGCTGATAGGATATAAGATCAAAAAAGTTTGGATCACACTGCTCTAAAGGGTAACATTAGCATATACTCCATTTCTTTGTAAAATCTTTCTGACTCAGGAGGTATGTGCAAGATGTATACTTGAAACTATATCCCTCCATGCCTCGTCTGTTACCCTGTTTTCTACAGCTTCCAGAGAAGCAAGCAGGCTGCCACTTTAATCATTAAATCAATTTATTTATCATTTAACCAGCTAGAGGGTTCTAAGCCACCAGCTCAGTGACTACATCAGAGAGTACTCAGTTTGCTGGGTTGTTGTTGTTCAGTCATATCAATTGTGTCTGACTCTTTGTGACCCCATTTGGGGTTTTCTTGGCAAAGATACTGGAGTAGTTTGTCATTTCCTTTTCCAGCTCATTTTACAGATAAAGAAACTGAGGCAAACAGGGTGAGGTGACTTGCCCAGGGTCACACAGCTAGTAAGTGTCTGTCTGAGGCTAGATTTGAATTCAGGAAAATGAGTCTTCCTGACTCCAAGCCCCTCTCCCCCACCCACTCTATCACTGCACCGTCTAGCTGCCCCCAAGTTCTCTGTGTATGCCTGCCCAATAGTTTCCCGTTGCTTACCAACACGTGTTTGCTTACAAGCTGTTTGACTACACTTCCCCTTTAGCCTCTGTCTCCTGGGCAGTGCATTGGCCTATATTCTGTGCAGATCCTGGAATATGACCTGGAACATGCTCAAAAAATAATTACAATAGGAAAAATCCTCACCTCTGCTAAAGCCCCGACCTCTCCTTAGAGAAACTTCCAGTTAACTGATGACTTCTTTCAAAGGACTTAGATGACACAATGTCCCTTCAGTCATCTGGCAGACTGCCTCCCCCCACTTTCCCTAACTACACCAGGGGCGTGGGAAGAGAAGGATAAAGGGAAGGAGGTAAGGGCTTGAAACTTACCAACCAAGAGAACTTGAAGAAAGCACAGGGAGAGTACCCACATTTAAGAACCATCTCCCACTGATCCGATGGTGGCTGAGGAGCTTCATATATGTATGGGTGTGTGGAAAACAACATATAGCGCTTTACTTTTCAGAAATTTAATTTTATTGGTGTTAAAACTCCTGATGAGGAAAACCTCTCTACCCACACATATCAGCAACAGAGTCTTAGAGAATTGTTTACAACGCTGATAGGCTAAATGACTTGCCCAGAGCCACACAGCCAGGAGACATGAGAGATAAAATTTGAGCCCAGGTTTTCTAGACACTGAGGCCAGCTCTCTGACCATTATGCTATGGTGTCCCTTAGTACAATAGATAGATAGGGAGAAAGACAGATGATGGCTATAGAAAGAAGGATAGAGATATAGAGAGTTTGATAGATCATGAAAGAGACAGAGAATGGTGGCTACAGAGGTAGATGATAGATATAGATAGAAAGATAGATGATAGGTCATGAGAGATAGAGAAAGAGAGGGATGGTTGGATAGATTGATAAACGATAGAGAGATAGATGGATAAATAGATGATAGATATAGATAATAAAAAGATGGATTGATAGATCATGAGAGAGATAATGACAGAAAGAGATATGATAATGGAGAGAGGGAGAGAGAGAAAGAGATGAAGAAGGAAAGAATCTCATTTAATTCTGGCAATAGTCCTGTGAAGTAGGAAGTAGCCTCCTTTCCATTTCACAGATGATTAAACAGGCTCAGAGCAATTGTGACTTGTCTAAGGCCACAGAGATTGCCCCAGAAGGCAGAACCCATGCCCAGGCCATCTTACCCCAGTCATAGCTCTGCATTAGGCTACTACTCACGATAATAATTTACCAGGAGTTATAGAAAGAATTATCTCTTGCTGAAGAAGACAGCAAGGCTAGAAGCTAAGTGACAAATTACCTAGAGAATTTCAACTCCAAGTTAAAATTCAGAACAAATTCCAAAGGTCAATGTACACCATGTGAGTAGAAGCAAGTTGTAATAAGATGAGTAAGGACAAATCAGACAGTCACCCATCCTCACCTCTTTATTTTATCTTAGGGTTGCTTTTTAAGTATGCCATGAACTGAGCACACAACCTCACCCTTTGCAACTGAGGGATGGCACATTACTATCACCTGGGAATAATTTGCCTAAAGTGCATGGCTATGAAATAAGAGACAAAAATAACCTCAGATGCTGAAAAGGTCCAATGAAAGTCACATGGTGGAATCTTCCATATATTCAGATATGAGATACCACATAAACATTCAACAGGAAGCAGAGATATTGGAGGCATTACAAAGACTATCTTTCTACTGTTGAAATGAACAGACTGCCAATTATGATATTTATACGAATATGGAGTTATTGAGGGTAAAACACTTTGTAAACCACAAAACGCTACAAAAAAATATGGCATTAATAGTATTAATTGTAATAGTAGTATTCCTTGCTATTACAAACAAGAAGCTAGGTAACATAGTGGGACTTGGCAACTGGAAGACCTGAGTTCAAATCCAGCCCCAGGTACTAGCTAGCTCTGTGACCCTAGGCAAGCCACTTAACCTCAGTCTGCTTCAGTTTCCTCATCTGAAAATAGGAATAATAACAGCACCTACCTCCCAGGGTTGTTGTGAGAATCAAATGAGACAACATATGTGAGGCACTTGGCAAACCTTAAAGCAACATATAAATGCTAGCTCTTATAACTGTTAATAAGAGCTTCTAGTGGAAATGACTTGGTCCAGGATTGCCGTCATAAACCCCTTCTACTCCAAGGGATAAACCTGCACAACTAAACTGTTTGCTCAATGCTTGTTTGTCAAGCTAATACATTGTTGGCTGAGTTTCTGAAGATGTTGCCCATATAGGGCCTTTTGATTCCACTTGTTACAATTGAAATTAAGGTAAACTGAGACACAAAGGTCCAAGTGAGATAAAATTTACCAATAAATGGGACTCCATTTCCTCAAGCAAAGACCCCCTAATGAGGACAGTTCTTTTTTTTTTTTTAGTCTTGGGAAATAAAGAACAAAGAGCAGTACTTCATAAGTGGGGAACGAGAGCTCAATATGATATGTTACAAAGCTGAGGTGTAGATGACAATATGCTTGGTCAGAAATTGGGAATGAGGACCTAACAACAATCCCCTCCTTCCCTCCTGTTCTAAGAAGTGTTCATTGTTTAAGTTCACCTGCAAGGTTAAAGATGGTAGACCAAACTTCTTTGGATAACAAATCAAACATCCTTGAAGGATAGCTTGGTGGTGTATAGATACTGGACCAAACCCTCTGGTGTCCGTCTCCATCCCTCAAGTACGGCATATTTCCTTGAGTCAAGAATCGAACAGTAATTAGCAGAACCGGATTTCTAAAATTAACATATTACAGGACAACTGAATTTCTGAACTAAGTTCAGAGACAAACCATGAGTTAGGTAGTTACAGGAGAAGATCAATTAACTGTAAATAGGAGCAATTAAAAGATGATACAGAATCAAAATGATCATTTCAAACTTGGATTTTCATGATTTCATAGGTTCCATCCAATGATGGGTTACCATTAGTTATGTTTGACAAATGCAATCCATTTGTCTATTATTGTCCTTTACTCACTGAAATGGTTTGCTTATTCTACAGGTATTTTTATAGATTTGTGATCTGTTAATTATATGTATAATAATGCTAGAAATATCAAAACATCACCAGGTAGAGGACAGAGTGCTATGTTTGGAGTGAGGAAGACTTAGGTTAAAATCAGACCTCTGCCGCTTACACAAATTATGTGATCCTGAGCAATTCACTTAACCTCCCATACCTCAAAAAATTCCCTAAGTCTTATCTATTAAGTCATAGACAGATTGTAGTCTGTGTCAAAGGAGGTAATTCTCTACTTTGACATAAATCATAGGCTCATAGATTTGTCTCTAGGTCAAACCTTAGAGATAATCTAGTTCAACCCCCTTAATTTATAAATGCAGGAATTCAAAACCAGAAGAGTGAAATGACTTACCCTACAGCCTCCAAGTGATAAGTAGAAGAGCCAGGATTTGAAATCAGGTTCTCCAACTCCAAATCCAGCATGGTACAAATATAGATTATATTGCAACAGTTAGGGCCCAGTTGAGGTTATGGAATATAAATTTGTAGTGGGTCTGGTCAATACAATTTCATGATTTTCCTGATTTTCATTTAGCAGCAGGTTTGGAGGAACAAAGGCAGTATATAGTGAGAGTGATATAAGACAGAGGCTCGGCAAGGCATGATTGGCAATATGATAAGGGGAAGGGGGGGTAAGAGATTCAAGAAAAGAGGACGGTATAGAGCTGAAAAGGTTTACCAAGGAGTCAGAATGGGTAAAGGAGGAGAGTGTAGCTGGTGCCGGGGTGATAGTCTGGCTAAGAACTGAGAGGTCAAGGCATTGGAGGTCACAATGTAGATGAAGATAAAGGTTTGGAGTTGGAAGGCAAGAGTGGCAATAGATTGTGATCAAATGTGGGGATTTCAGAGTTCATAAACAAGGAAGTGGTGTATTTGTGGGCAATGGCAAGAAGGATATGACTCTTTTGTGTGTGGTTGAAGTGAAGTTGGGGAGTAGGTCATGTGAAATGAGCAAGTTGAGGAACTGTTGAGGTTAGTGTGTTTATGGAGTATCAATATGCATGTTGAAGTTGCCTAGTATGAGGGTAGGAGTTGGGGAGGAGAAGGAGATTATGAGCCAGGCACTGAACTCATTTGAGGAAAGGAGGAAAGTTGCCTAGAGATCAGTAAACAACAGCTACCAGAATTTTGATTATATGGTAGATAAGATTGAGTGAACCTCAAAGAACAAGAGTAGAGTGAGAACTAGAAGTGGTAATGGGGAATCAGTAGTACTCCAACTCCCCCCACCTTGACCAGTGAGTTGGGGAGAATAAGCAAAAATACAGGCAGTGATAGAAAGGAAGACCAGGAAAGTTGTATCATCAGGAAGGAGCCAGATCTCAGTGAGAGCCAGAAGATGAAAGGAGTTGCAAAGGAAAAAAAAGAAATTAAGATGAAAGCAAGTTTGTTGCCTATAGAGCAGACACTCCTGAGAGTACAATGGAAGGGGGAAGTAGCTTTGCTTTCCATCCTACCAGCTCCCATGAGGAGTCATAGTGGGACATTGTCCAGGTTGGGTTGAGGAGAATGGGAATAAGGAATCAGGCAGTGGGAGATGGAGAATAGAGTTTGCATGATGACAACCAAGAGTTCAGAATCACTGGGATGCAGAGGGTTATGACCAGGGAGGTAGTTGGTTAAGCATTGAGAAATAATTTCAGGAAAATTTTCCTTGTCCGTAGTGGTCTGCCCTCAGGATGGCAATCTTTCAGAGCCATAGGCAGTCCAGATGAGGTGACAAGTTTTTGAAGTTGAAGGAATAGTGTTATTCTCTTCCCCTGAGGCAGAAGATCAGGCTTGAGACTTGATGGGATGGCCTTTTTCTTCCCTAGAAGAGAAGATTCTGCTTTTGGTTGGAACAGTGGTTTTCCTCTTCCCAAGAAAGACAGGAGACTTAGGAGAAGCATTGCTTCTCTTCCCCTGAGAGGCTGGAAACTAGGCAAGAGAAAGTACATGATGGAATGGCATTTGCTCTCCTTACCCAAAAGGCAGGAAGCAGGTGAGCAATGGAATGGTGTTTCGACTCTCCCCCGAGGAGGCTAGTGACTAAGCAACAGATTTGGCATGATGGAATGGCATTCCTCCTCTTTCCAAGGGGACTGGAGACCAGGTGGAAGACCCAGCACAATGGAATATAGGGCTTTAAATTTTACCAGGTACTTTGCTCACAGTAACTGCCAGGCAGGTATAGCAAGAACTATTATTCTCACTTACCAGATAAGAAAAAATTAAGGCACATAAAAGTTAAGTGACTTGATCTGGCCACACAAGTGTCAGGGCCCAGCTCTCCTTTAGTTATTCTTGCGCTTTTAACCTGTGGCCTGCTCATCATGGACTACCCCTCTGCAGGGCCTGTCTCCCTTCTCACATTGGTAAGCTTCTCCTGGAACCTCTCCATTTGGCAAAAAGGCTCTGGCCGGCCTTCTTTCATTGCCCTTATGTCCCTGTTCCTGACTTTCTGGACTTCAAAATCAGGTCCCTATGCCAAGTACCTCCATTCTCCACTCCCCCTTCCACACACGCAGATATGTGCATACACACACACACACACACACACACACACACACACACACACACAGCTTTTCCCTTGTGTGTATCTTCCCTCAGTAAGCTCCATGAGGGCAAGAACTGTCTTTCTTTTTTGCTTCTATTTGTATCATAGTTTCTGACTCATTATAAGCATTTAATAAATATTTGTTTCCTTCCTTCCTCCCATAATTTGTTTAGCCATTCACCAAAAGGGAGTTGCCTTTTTAGTTTCCAGTTTTTCACTACTACCAAATGAACTACTAAACACATTTTTATACATTTGAGTTCTTTTCCTCTTTCTTTGGTCCCTTTGCATATTTTTTTAAAAATAAATTGTAATAATAAATAAATAAGTGAAAATATATTTATATAGTGTAATATGGTACACTAAACACTAAACTTATATTTATATGACAGTTGGTGCTTCATAATTAATATAATAGGACTTAGAACTCGAAGGGACAATAAACACCATCTAACCTAAATCAATTTTTTATAGGTGAGAAAACCAAGACTCAAAGAAGAAATGGCTTGCTTTAAGGTCACAGAGCAGGTCAGTAGCTGAGTCAGGGCTGAAATTTGGTTCTAGAGCTTTTTCTCTTTGTTATATATTCTTTGACATATACTAGCTCATTTGACACAACCTAATGACATAAGATAAATATTGTAACATCCATCATAAAGATTAGGAAACTGAGGATCAAAGAAGTAAGATCATACAATTAGGAAGTGGTTTACCCAAGAAAAAACTTAGGTCTTCTAGTCTTCTAAATCCAACTCCAGTGCGAATTACCTTCCTTCTTTCCTTTTCCTTCCTTCCTCTCCCCCTTTCCTTTCTTCTTTTGTTCCTTTGTTGCTCCCTACTTCTCTCTCTCTCTCTCTCTCTCTCTCTCTCTCTCTCTCTCTCTCTCTCTCTCTCTCTCTCTCCCCCCCCCCCGCCCAAACATTAAGAGGTAAGAAAGTATCAGGAAATATCATAGGATTATTTTTTTACAGCTTGAAGGATCATGAGAGATCATTTGGTTCAACCCACTCATTTTTGGACAAAAAACAATTGAAGCCTACAGATAAGTGATTTGCATAAGATCATGCATATCGTAAGTAGCAGAGCCTGAATTTGAAGGCCTGGGCTTTCTGGCTCTAAATACTATATTCTATTTTGTATAATGTAAGAAAAATAATAGATTATCCCTAACCAACTCTTCCCTAACATTCCAAGACCCAACCTCATCTTAGCATTGCTATTAGTAATGCCATGAAAACTTTCCATAAAATTCCTTTGTGCTTTACCAACAAAATATAGAGTGATAAAAATAATACTTTGTCAATCTTCCTTATCATGTTTATGGTTCTTTAAATGACCTTTGGTTTCTTAATCAAGTTAATCCAAAAACTAATTAGCCCACACTCTTGACATTTGTGCATGTTGCATGTCCCTATTTTCTTTACTCAGAGAGAAGTTTCTGGGAAGATGATTCATCATCATCATAATCATCTCAAGGGTTTTGATGAACATACATGCACATGTTAGGATTAAAATCAGGCAAGAGGAAAGAGGCATGAAATGGATTTCAGAAAGGGAGAGTGGGAACAGCATCACAAGATCTAGAACAAGTGACAAGTTCCATTTAATGTACATTTCTAAAATCATAAAGTTTAGGAAGGAGCTCTGAAGTCCTCAAAGGATAGCACTAGAAACCAATGGGAAAGGAGAGAGTGCTGCCATGCTTAATAAGAACAGTGAACCAGAGATTTTGTGAAGTTACATTTGGGGCTTAGATCAGCTCTGTGATGATAACAGGTAATAAGTTCAGCTGTACCTTGAATAAATAAGATAACATCTTTACACTTTTTTGAAAAGAGGCCTTAATCTTAATGACTCCTTTTAGTGAAAATAAGAGGGAGAAATATTGTAAATATAGTAAGCACTAAGTAAATGTTTGTTGAAATGCACTATGTGGAAAAAGAAGGCATATTCAGATCTAGAAAGAAGCAAAGTGGACAATTAGAGGAAGAGAAGAAAATTTATTCAGAGAAATATTAGAGCTATCAAGAAGATAGACTTCTTTGGACAA